TTTGTGATTCCTTCTGAATTGTTATTCCGAACTACACAATCTCTGTTATATATTATTGATCATTAAGTAAATCATATTGATCGTTCCTTGTAAATTTATCATACCATTGTGAATACTTTTTTTATTATTTATAAATGTAAATTATAATACTTATTATTGTGTATATATTGATTATTACATTTATAAAAAATTTAATTGTTATGTAACAATGTTTGTGATATATTTGAAAATATATTTTGTACTTCGTATATTTTTTTTCTCATTTCCAATATAAGAAATTATTAGATTTTCTTATTTTGAATTACGTATGCGAACCATATCTAGGAATAATACCAGCGGTTGATTTATATACTGAACAGTGCTGCCTCCTTCAGATCGCTAAAAATATTACAATGGCGGTAATGTCAAATGGCCTCAGATAGCGATCTAGTTATGTTTACTTATCTATGCATGTAGGTGTCTTTTATGTTCATAATTATTTATTAATTTCCTGCGAATTAGAATCAATTTCGGATATTTAGTAATTTTATTAAATAATATCATTTACAATATACAAAATTTACATATTCATAGTTGCAACATTAGAAACTAATATTTGATAGTCCTTAAAATGTTAGCCTATAAAAATAATTATTTATTTATTCATAATATGATTATGTTTAACTCTCTTGGCAACTTCAGTTAAATCAGGCTTGGCAAAGTTAAGTCTTGCGTTAAATATGTTCAACTCACTCCATCTGTTAATATATCTAAAATAGAACCAAACATCTTAGAACCATTGTAAACAAATTTTGAATTGAAACATTGTGAACAATTAGTCATTTGTGAACATTATCTCTAAACATACTCATTTTGAAGTTAATGACTATTCGCTCCGAGCGTGACTGCAGCGCCCATGCAGCGCCGTAATAAATATGAACTAATTGGGGCTATCAGTGTGTGGTCCTAGACAATATACTAATATAGACGTTTCTCTCTCGCGGTATTTGCGTTCAGAGAGCTAGGGAAAGTCACGACGCAATATTGGGTGATGGCGCTTTAATCGCATGTCGCTCGGCAGCCTCGTGCTCCAAATGCATTCAATTAAAGCGCCAAATTAGAAATAAAAGAAATTTTCAATTTTAAAAATAATTTATTTGTATTTAAATTTTGCATACAATAGTCTTATATTGACATTGTTAATACAATAACAAAACATACCAAACAATAATACATATATTAAAATAGATATCAAAGTAAATAGCAATATGTTGCAACAAACATATTTATTTAAAAAAAGGAAAAATAAAAAGTTTAACGAATTACAGGATTCCTGCCTTCAGTGGATAATCATCATTATTCACTACCAATAATGTTGTGAACACAAAACATGTGTTTAAATTATAGTGTCTGTGCATTACTTTTAACTAATAATCATTCCAAGTAAGATTTGTCACTTTTCAGCACATTCTTTGCGATAAATCCAGTCATGCTAATGGCTCTTGATATTATCTTGAATATCAAAAAACTGCTGCATTAAATTAACTTATTTTATCATCTTGCACGGCATTGGATTTCGTTCATTAACTCAGTGGCGTTCCTAAAAATGTAAAGTCTAGTCTATTTATGCTTTTCCATATAATTTAAGAGCCTCCAAAGTTTTAATACAATTCTGAAAAGTTAGAGGAGCCTTGCCTTTCTTATAAAAGAGCCCTAGCTTGCTCCCAAAATGTATTGTGATTAATTTTTTTATATACACTGCTTTAAAAAAACAACTGCTTTATATCCTCTTCATTAAGAGTTATAGATTTTGTTTGAATCAAAAATAAAACCGTATAAACAATTATAAAACACTTGTAAACACAACAATCTAATCAGAAGAATCAAAACAAAATTTTTGACATTTCTGGTACATATTGCTCGTGAATTACTAACCTGTCAAACTTGTCATCGGCTCACTAGCGCCAAATTTGCGCCTAGCGGTCGTGACTGGAACTACGCGTTGTGAACGCGGATTTTGTACTGAGATAATAGGGCCTGGTGTGTGGTTTTCATGGGTTTTACATGTTTGTTAAAGAAAAAAGATATTAAATAATTGTTATAAATAATAATAAACAAGATACAGTAATAATGTGAACGCTGAATGTTTATTGAAATTATTAAATTTACTTCAACGTACTTAAAACATAGTTGTATAATGATTAATTAATAAAGAAATGCAGTAAATAATTTTAAGGTTAAGTGCCTCAAAGCTTACGTCATAATCTCGGAATAGTTCTTAATAAAAACAATATAATAATGATAAATAGTATTTTATCAATAGAATAAGTAAATAATAAATAATTTACTCATTTTTTGGTCAAACTAAAGACTTAGACACTATTATAAAGACATAATTTAGACATTATTATAAGACAAGACCAAGTTGACAAGTAGGTAGGACTCAATACCTCGACCGATTCACTGCAAATGCGATCATAGGGCTTGGGAACCCACGGTGATCCATCAACACTACAAATATATATTTCGCATTATTTCAGCATTGTATTAATTAAACTGTTTGCAAAATAAACATTTTTTCGCTATGTGATAACTTTTATTTTTCTTTTAATCATAAAATTACAATTATTATATAATAAAATGTAATTAATATATAGATAATAGTTATACATAATCAAATATACAATATATATATGTATTTTTCATTATTTTAGGCTTGCATTAATTACATTGTTTTACAAAACATTTTTTTTAGTAGCATTAAATTTTGATAATACAACAATTTATTGACTTATAATTTTTCTTTTTCTAACATAACAATTTTACAACTATTCATAATACTCCAAATTGTATTTTTATAACAAAGGTTATGATACTTACTTTATTCTTCTAACCGCTGCGATCCACTTTTCCCGTTGATTTTCTTTCCACTTAGCTGTAGAAAATGTATAGAATTTGCAGTCACTTTTTCTCCTGGTATTTCTACAACCCACTACACAACAGACATGGTGGTTCATTTTTAATTATCTTATTTAAATTTGAAATAAATAAATCATTATGTGTTTTTGTTTAAAATTTTGTTTATAATAGCCCCTTTTAGTGCTTCAAGTTAGCCACTACGAACGCTTCGGTCGATTTGACTTCCCCTTCCATGCCTTCGCACATAGCCAATATATACTCTTCTTTTATCTATGATGACTATGTAGTTCCTACGATCATATGACAGAGATAATTATTCCATGAACACACACTCAATAATTTTCTTGCGTTGATTTTATCCTATTAATTTTCAAGATCTGAATTTCCTAAAACTAAAACATTACAAATTAGTACTAAATTAGTAAAAAAAAAGTATTAATCATTGATCAATATTTATAATTATTGATTTTTTTCTTTGAATATCTTATTCTGGTTGGAAAAGTTCCAGCAATTTGTCTTAAGGCTAATTAAAAATTGTTAACTTTTTAACTTCGCCTATATCTTACTCGAGTAAGATGATTATTATAATAGTCTATAGTTATAGTTACTATAATTATAGTAATTGCAAAATATAAGGCATATATTACATATCTTTACGTTTCAAAGGATTCTGAACATTTTGGAATACCTCAGAAAAAATTGATGTATGTTTGTATGTGTGGATACATTTTTTCGTCGACGGTTTCGGAAACGACGCGGATCAACCGATTTGAATAATAATAATATTGTTCCAACGACACGTTTAAAACACCGATTTATGAAGATTATAATTGATATAATTTTGTTCATTACATGATTTTTGTTAGAATGTATATTTTTGGAGATGTTTGCAAAAAAACGCCAACAAGAAACGAATTTTTAGTAGCAAGAAAAGTATTTGCTTTTTTAAAAACATTATGAAACATTTTTTTCTTATAATTAGTTCTTCTATCGATATCTTTATTTTGAAAACAACTAAATTTACACCACTGAGAATGGGTGTCATCCACCGTTGAGTCTAAATTATTTTCACTTTTTGAACTTGAGAGTAAGATGAACCTAATTCCAAAATTTCATACGGATTGGAGCACAGTAAAAAATTTAAATCCAAAACGTTCCATTGATTTGAGTAAATATTCCGTATACACATTTTGCCACGGGCCCGGAGGGTCTAGTTACGCCACTGTCCAAAACCCTCAAAGAATCGGACCATAATAAATAAGGATATTTAGTTCCTCTTATGCAAAATTGTACCGGCTTTTTGAAATGGTGAAATATTTAAAAAAAATATTTTCAACAAATATAAAACATTAGTATTTTTTATGTGAAAAAATCTGGATGTAATTTTTACAAATGACTAGTGGAAAAGGGCATTTAGCAATTTTTTTATGAATAGAGGAGTATATTAAACATCCTAAACATATAATCTTCTTTCATCTATGATATTAAATTTGAAAAGGCGCGCCACTTGTTAAATAACAAAGCGATTCGGCAAGTGTCTCATCTTTCTAAAAGCAGACTCTATGTTTCAAATGTCAAATAATGAATGTAATGCCCGAAATAATTGAAGTGCAATAGTTGAAATTATCTATGATTTCGAAAATGATTGTCAATTAAAGTAGATTATTATTTAGCCTACGACTATTTTCGTGTATATTTTGTGAGTAAAAGCAGTGAGAGTATTTAAAAATGTCAGACGAAATAATTATGAACAATCAGGCAATTAAAATTGAACCACCAGAATATTCAGTAGAAGAAATTGAATACGAAATTGAGGATGATTTTGATGATGCTGATGCTATTGTTAAATCAAAATCATGTACTGAGGATGATAAAACGTGTTTAGAAAGATTCATGAATTCCGAAGTGATTATAGAAGAAGTCAAACAGGAGTCAATCGAGACATTGGCCTTTGAATGTGACATTTGTTATCGATCATTTGCACAATCACATCATTTGAAAGAGCATATGGTCGATCACATGTCTACTAATAGCAAAGAGAGCCATTTCAAATGCGAAATCTGTAATAAGACTTTCAAACTAGCAAAGGGTTGAAAATACACATGAATATACATTCTGCAGAACGTTCCTTTGATTGCAAATTTTGCAATAAGTCATTCAATGAATTGGTTGCTTTGAAAAAACACTATCAGGTTCACAGTGGTGAATTCGCGCATGAATGCAATATATGCAATAAGACATTCACAGAATTAGGTCATTTGAATCAGCACATGCTGATTCACAGTGGAGTACGTCCCCATCAATGCAGTATATGCAATAAAAAGTTTACAGAATTAGGTAATCTGAAACGTCACATGCTGATTCACAATGGAGTACGTCCCCATGAATGCAGTATATGCAATAAGACATTTCGACAATTAGGTACTATGAAACGTCATATGCTCATTCACAATGGAGTGCGTCATCATGAATGCAGTATATGCAATAAGAAATTTAAAGAATTACGTTCTCTGAAACCTCACATGCTCATACACAGTGGAATACGTCCCCATGAATGCAATGTATGCAATAGGACATTCACACAATCAGGTACTCTGAAACGTCACATGCTGTGTTGTAAGAGAGCATAAATGAGAAATATGCAATAAAGGATTTAGTCAATTGAAGAAATGAAAGTGACACATGGCACTTTATAGTCGGAAGTGTGATAAAAATCAACAAATTTGAACATATTTGTTAAACTGATGTTAAATATTTGGAATTATATTATAAAATATTCCTGCATGCAATATAATGTAATGCATATGAAAATAGAATGAAATATACATTGTACATCACCTAATATGAATTTATTGATATCAAGCCAATTGTTACATCTGCCAAATTAAGTATTAATAATGTGGATTAGCAACTATTGGTTCCGAATTCGATACCTGTCTTGGCCAGCTTGTAATCAAGTAGTACTGATATCAGATATTTATTAACTTCCTGAAGGAAAGGTTTGTTTTTGCCAGACAATACGATTTGCTAATTTACACATATGCACTTTAAATCATCATATATTTTATAAAGATTTCAATAATAAATTATAATAATTTCAAATATAAGTTTCAATAATAATTTTGTTTATATTTCTATGGGTTCCGTCAGAAGTAACAAACAATGTAGCAAACCGTTAATCTAAGCATTGTGGCAGGTTATACAGAAATATGTTGCAAACAGATTCCAATTATTAGTTAATTTTTTTTTGTGGTGTAGTGATAGGTTGCACAAAAACATGTTGGGGTTCCAAAAGTTTCCCGACCACTGGCTTATTAGGCGCTTTATTATTTTGTCGCAGCGCGATTGCTTTGAAAAAGAATGTTCAAAATTTTCAAACGTTTTCAAAATGCAAACAACAAATTCTTCAAAAAAGTCAATTGTTTCCTAAAATTCTAAGAAATCTAATTTATTCAAAGTTTTCAAAATATTTTAAGAGTTTTTTATAAAAAATTTAAATTTTTGGTACGGGATGTTCCAGCAATTTGCCTTAAGGCACGACGTCAAACACCACGACTAGTTAACTTTCTGTAGGGTAAGTTATAGTAATGGGCCAAAAATCAAAAATGAAAATTTTTGCATATCTTCACGTTTTGAAGGTTTCTGAATATTTTGGCATACCTCAGAAAAAATGGATGTGTGTGTGGATACAATTTTTTGTCGACGTTTTCGGGAGTACCGCTCAACCGTTTCAAATGATTGAAAAAGCAATCGATTCCTACTGATGGGGAATAGTGCTGATTAGTTTTTGAGAAAGATCGGCCCAGTCGTTTCGGAGATACGAAGCAAAGAGTGCAGAAAATGAAAATTGATTTTTGCGAGAACCGGGCATCCGATTGGAATGATTTAAAAGACATTAAATTCGTAATGATGGTACTTGCAGCTGTTTTGGAGATAAAGAGCAAAATGTGCAAAAATTGGTTTGTGAGTAGTTTGTGAGAGAACTAAGCATTCGATTTGAAATTGAAAATTTCGCTTGTGTTATCAAAACAATTGCTTTTGGAAAAACAAATTTTTTTTAAAATTTTTTTTGTTTATCGAAGATAATTCAGATTTTAATTTTTATCCTTGCTAAAGTACTTTAGAACGTTTAAAAGCACACTTATATACTTCAAACAAATAATTTTAACTTTGTAATTTGGTTTATATAATTCTCATAACAATGTTACAATATTTATAATAATCTATTCGAAAACATTCAATATTTTTGAAACATTTCGTTACGGTACAGGAAGTTCCAGCAATTTGCCTTAAGGCGCGATGCTTTGAACCCCTTGTTTACTCTTTTTAGTAGGTCTCCGAAACCGCTGGACCTGCCTTCCCAAAAATTTAATCAGTTTTTATTTTGTCAATAAAAGTAAAATGTATTTTGAATTATTTAAATCGGACGCTCCGTTCTCTCAAAAACTGTGTGGGAATCAAGTGAGCCTGGTGAATTTTGCGAGAAACAAATGGTCATCACATTTTTTAAAGTTTTATATTCACAAAATTTAATATATTTTTATATATGGAAATATCTTTTTATATATTTTATTATTTCCATAACTGAATCACATTTTTGGCATCTTTTGCCCCTTATCTTCGATATTGCTAGACCTAATTTGACTAATTTTAATTTTTTTTAAATTTAATCTGGGAAAGAATGATTCACAAAGATTTTGTCAGAAGGGGGATGGTTTCAATTCTCGTGTTATAGCGATTTCGTGTTAAAGAAGTACCGTGTTAGGAGGGGGGTTACCCAGTGCTGGATTTACAGTAGGGGCAATCGGGGCTACTGCCCAGGGCGGAAAATTTTAGGGGGCGGCAAAATTTGGATAGTGAGAAAAAAATTCTATACAATATAATCAACATTTTTAACAACATTTTTTATTTAAAGAAATATAATTAACAATCGATTGCAATGCAAAATTTGGGTTGAAATAAACGATAACTAAAATTTATTATTTTGCCTTGCCTCCCTCTCCGAACGTAAATAATCAAATTGGTTAATAAGTTATCAAATTTGGCAATTTGGCTAATATAAAGATCCGTAAACAAACTGAAAGTTTAAGAAATATATGTTCTTCAGTTCTCGAGCCCTCTTAAAATGACGCATTTGTGCACTTCCAAGCTTATCGAAAAAAAATTTAAACTAGTGACTCAAGGTATTGTGCCTTAAGACAAATTACTGAAACATCCCGTACTGAAAATTACATTTTATAAAGCGCTTTAAATTTTATTGAAAAATGAAAAAAAAAGACTTCTAAAACACATTTTTTGTATTTTGAAATTTTTCGAAATTTATGAACTTTTTGCAAAGAAATATCGAAACTCAATTACCATTTTTCGTAATTGCCTGTACCAAACGCTAATCAGCACGTCTCCCCATTAATATAAATTTAATATGTTTTAATTATTCAAGTCGATTTCGAGAACACGGATCAACCGATTTATGATTCCTATTGATAAGAAGACGTGCTGATTATTTATCGGTCAAGGCAGGTCCATCTGTTTTGAAGATACGGGCCAAAATGCCAAAAATGATAATTCAGTTTTTGAGAAAAAAGCGTCCAATCACATTCAAAAAAATTTACAGAATAAATAACTGCTTAAATTTATGGGGGGCAGGTTCAGCGGTTTAGATGATCCAATAAAAAAATTTGAAAAATATGCACGTTACATTATCAGATTTTAAAGATATTATAATAATAAGAATAAATTTTGTTTACATTTATATAAGTTCTGTAACATTGTTTATCCGTTAGACTGCGACGCGGCGCTTGCGCGCTTCAATATTTTGTCCCTCGCAGCGCGATTGCTTTAAAAAAAAAGTTCGAAAGTTCGTAAAATTTCAGGGATGGGGCGGCATTTTTGTCAGTGCCCCGGGGCGCCAAATTTCTAAATCCGGCCCTGGGGTTACCTGTATAATAATGTATAAATATGTATTGTTAAGCTCTATTCTCTCATTGTAATTTTCAACCCAATTTAGTGACCAAACGTTACTCGATATATTTTATTATTATAATTTTTTAACAGATGATTTTTAACATTAGTATTTAATAAAACCGTGGCAATCAGGAAATAGGTAGATAAGTAAACCAGCGGACTAGTAGACTGATATACAGGTAAACAGGTAGGGAAATAGATACGTAGATAGATAAAAAAGTAAACTGGCAAATTGGTGGACGGTATACGAGTGGACAGATAAACTGGTAGACTGATGAACTGGTAGATAGATAAATATGTAGATATGTGAGCAGATAAACAGGTGAACAGTTAGACAGTTAGGTTGATAGGTAAACAAATCTATGTCAAGCCGACGAATCATCTGTACGTTTTGTGGTGTTTTGTAGTTTGCTATTGATTATAGTTAATTACATAATTCTAAGTTAATTAATCTGTATACAGATATTATAAGTATGTTTTAAGATATTAATTAAAAATCGTTTTTAATGAAAGCAAAATATTTATTTTAGCTTCTTTTAAGCTAATTCTAATTTCTGTTGATAATAACAAAAATAGATATGCATAAATAAGCATAACAAGTATCAACACGTATCGGACAGTTCTTGCAACTTGCCTTAAGGCAAAATGCTACTTATAGCTCTGGGTTGTTTGGAAAGTAACTTCGTAAATTCATATTTGGCACGTATACTTTGAGAAATTATGTATTGGAAATTTTGATCGAACATCTTTTGTCATATTTCTCATATACATTTTTTGGTCGTTATTGGCAAAAAACCGATCAAAATGCTTTTTGACATGCTGATTTGCCGGAAAAAAAATAATGGTCCGATGATGGCAGGTCTGGAGAATATGATGAATGTGTCTTTGCTTCCCAAAGATACAATACAAGCTTACAATGACCAAACTTATCTGAGGTCTTGCGTCGTCCTGATGTAGGACTATATCTTCTTGTGGGATAATTCTGACCTTTTCTATTGAAGTATATCATTTAGTTTATCCAGCTGATGACATAAGGCATCCAAATTAACCGTTTAGTTATCCTGGAAATACTGAAAAATGAACCAAATGTAAAATCTTACCAAACATACAGCATCACCCTTTTCTTGCAAATTTCAGCTTTGCATCTGTTGGAGCAGGTTTTCTTTTTTGTTTCATGGGCAATTGCGTGTATTGTATTCTTTACATCCCATTTGATATTCCTAGTGACAATTCGCTTCAAAACTTGATAATTTTTAGGACTTTTCAGAGGCGAATCGCGGACGCCTGTACGAAGACACACGTTTCTTTCTATGAAAACCATACATTGAATTTCGTGGAAAATCCCAGACTTTTTGAGCGGTCATGAACTGTTGAATTTGATTATTTTTAACTCAATGTGATCTCATGTATTGTTATTTGTCGGTTTGCATCATCTAATGCCTTTCTCGCGTTTTTATCAGTATCGCGTACTTCTTGGACTTGGAGCATCTTGTACATCAAAATACCAGGAATGAACTTTAGAAAACCAATTTTTCCACTGTCCTACTATCAACACGTCATTTCTATACACATTGGTCAATTTCATTTTGACTCAAACAGTATTATTAATAACTTTTCTACAGCCAAAGAGTAAGATAAGTCGGAAATGCAGCTTAATTCTTTTCGT